CTGCATGGTGACACAGAGGAGCCTGGTTAAACTAACTGGGTCACAAAGCCAAAGTCAAGAATCTGGGAGACAGGTCTGGGGGAGGGAGTTGGGTGCGAGAGTAGCAAGGGTGGGAAGGAGCGAGAAAGTGGTAAGCATTTTATGCCATGAAACTGTCAAAGAACTAAATAAAAGAAAAACTACAAAAGAAAGTACAATGTGGTATATGTACACAATGAAAGTTTATTTAGTTGTAAAGAAAAATGAAATTATAACATTACAGGAGAACAGATAGAGCTGGGGATCATTTTGTGATTTTGTTGCGTGGAGTACACCAGATTGTAAAGACAGACAGCTTGTTTCCGCTCAGACATAAAAGACAGATTTAAATATGTGTGGAGGGGGCATGAAGGTAAAACAGGAACTGCGATGGGAGGAAGAGGTCAAAAGGAGGGAGGAGCCAGCAGAATTAGTGGGATGCATATGTATGCCATAAAAACAGAAGGGGAGCTCTCTGTGGGGAAAAGGGGGACCAGCAAGAGGCAAGGAGGAAGGTCAGGGAGGGAACCCTGTAAAGGATGAGCAGAAACAAAGTATAAAGAAATAGAGATCATGAAAATGTAACCAAAGAAATTCATTTCTTCGCAAAAAATATTTTAAACTATCAGTAAAAAAAAAAAAAAACAAATGGAGACTTGTTTTAGTCTTATTAAAATAGAAGCACCAAGGAGGGCTAACAACAAGTTCTCTACATATACATATCAGTAGCATCTGCAGAAAGGATAGACTTGACCCAAACAACACACTATAAAGACCTTGACCCAAGATTGCACGAGTTTTGCTGAGTTCTGTGCACCAGGGATGTTTCTTTCAGAAGTGAAAGTTCCAAGTGCCCTGATTTTGGCAGTAGAAAGGACCAGGTGGAGAATAATGTAGAGATGTCTGTATGAGGAGTGAAAAAAAAAAAAAGGCAGAAGAGTTGAGTTCAACACTGAGGATTTGGTTTTAACCCAAGAGGAAGAAACTGAGGGAAGTAGAAACAGAAGAAACCGAAGAGAGTAGGGTTGCCTGAGCTGCTGGCTGGCGGCAGACACTCCTGTGCCTCTGGGCTGTGCACACTCACTAGGCTTACTCCACATTGGCTGTGGTGTAGAAAGATCTCCGGGTCACTGAGTAACTCCTAACCCTTGAAACCAATTTAGTTAGCATCAATAACATTCTGAGTTTGGAAAGAGACAAAGTCAGCCATGACAGCGGAGTAGCTCGAGGGCATGTGCAGGAAGCGATTTCACGGTGGAAGAAGAGCTCTAGTGTTATTTGGGGAGAAATCCACAGAAAACGGGCACACTTTAACGTCTTCTACAATCATATGTGTGTTTGTTCCCTCCCCACTTGGATTTCTGAGGTGCTTAAAGAGCCATCCTTGCTGCTACCCTTGGGTAATTCACGAATATAGCAGTTTTCTAACTGGTCTTGCTCCTCCTAATTTCCCTAAATGTTCTGCATAAAAAGTCCAGGGATGTCTGTTTACTTGTGATAAAGCTCAGACTTGCCTGGAACTTTGCATCCTTCCTCAGCCTCCCAGTGCTGAGTACCAACATGCATTACCATGCCCAGCATGAAAGATCTTCCAAATCATAGTTTATCTTCTTCCTAAAATCTCCCCAAGGCTTTCAAGCGCTATGCAACTTTGAGTTAAACACAGCCTTCTTCCCTGATCCTCTAAGATGCTGCAGGTGCTGTCCATGTCAGTTTTGCATCTCATGGAGGTGTCTGGTCCTATCTTGTCTGAGGGCTGTTCTTGACCTTACTACAAGACCCTCTGCAAGCATTGCCCTGCTTGCACAATTCTTGAAGCTCCTGGCTGTCTTGTGTACTTTTTTATTGCCTTTCTCCTCCCTAGCATGCTGACTCCCTAATCCATATCTTAATATCTTAAGACCATGGGCAGGGATACAAACGTTCTCATTTTGTTCAACAATTTGACCGGAAAGAGTTAGAGCGAGGCCTGGCCCAAAGCCTGGCTGACAATCACAGAATGTGGTGATCTTCCTTAATGTTTGGTTTACTTGCCTTTGTTGAGACACAGGATCTTACTGTGTGTCCCACATAGGCTTCCGTCTCTACTCCCCTGCCTCAGTCCATCAACGCCTAGGATGTGGGCAACCCAACCTGCTCATTTCTAGGCATTTAAAAATGTAGAATCAGATATATTAAAGGACTTGTCATAGCTGTTTTTTGCAGAAGAATAATGTGTGTGTGTGTGTGTGTGTGTGTGTGTGTGTGTGTGTGTGTGTGACATTTTCCTTAGCCACTCATTTTCTGGTGGGTAGCTAGGCTGACTCTGTAGCCTAGCTGCTGGGAGTATTGTAGCAGTACACAGAGGCATGCTGGCTTCTCTACAGAGAGATGACTTGATTATTTTAGGTATAAGCTGGGAAGTAGTGTAGCTGGATTGTAGAGAGGTTCTATTTTTAAGGAGCCGCTGTGTGATAGCTTCATTAATTGGAATATTTTTATTCTATCAGAGTTCTACTGAGAGGAAAAATAAATAGCTTTCTTTTCTTTTTTGAGAATGAGCTAACTTTGATTGTACAAGTACGGCACACATTCACACTCCTTCCTCCCCTTGAGGGCAAAATATCAACATCTCACATCTTGCTAGGTCTGAGTGACAGCCCTGTGGCCTCACCTGCTGGGCTAAGAAGTAAGGGGTTTACTCGCTGTCCTTTCACATTGGAACTGCCAAGTAATATGGGTGAGCAAATGTGTTATTTCTCATTTATCTGGATAGCTAGTGAGTATCTGAAAGGTTTTAAAAACTAGTCATTTCCTATGCCTTGACCCTTTCCTTCTCATCGGAGAGTACTTAGTTATTTTATTAACCTGAGTGGGCCAAAATGTTTTTATTAAATGGCCTCAGACACATAGCCATGCCTGGGAGCAAAATCAAGTTCATTTTTTTTTTTAAGGAACTACTAAACCAAAATAACAAAAGAAAACAGACACCCTCATACTTAGTGGATATAAAATATCTTTCCCAGAAAGAACAATTGAAAACAAATGCTGTTATCAGATTAATTGCCGAGAGGGCTCTCAGCTGATGAAGAGACTATGGTACTCATATACAATGGAGTAGAATTTAGCCATAGAGAAGAAAGAAAATCCTGTTGTTTTAAAACAAGAATATATATTAGGCCATTTTGATAAAAAAGGGTGGATTTGGAGGACATCAGGATAAAATGAAATAATATAAATATATAAAGACAAGTACTGAATATTCTCTATCACTTATGGAGTCACACACAAACAGAGGAGGGGGGAAGAAAGCCTAAAAATGTAAGAGACTAGGAAGGAGATCTGAGGGAAGTTAGAGGGTAGAAGGGCAGATAGACATAGTGTGCATACATGGCAATATCAGCAATTATCATGTTAATAATTGTAATAAAAAGCAATGTCATAATCAGAATAGGTTAGAATCAATAACCTATACATGGTAAACAGTCATTAGTGGGATAATAATATTAATAAAAAAAACATCCAAAGAGCAATACACGCCTGGACGGTCTTACCAAACCACCGCCGATAACAGCCACTCTTGGTCCTCCAGCATCAGATGAGGCCATAGTTACCTGAACACCTCTGTCCAGGTTGGAACTCTCTGTCCTACATGCTGCTGTTCTGTGATCTTTTTATTGCCAGAGGTCCAGAGCCTTTGCGAGCCAGCCAGCAGCAGGGTTAGGACAAAGCTCACTTCCTTCAATAGTGTTTAACTCGCTAGAAGCCCAAAGTCCAATCAGCTCTGCCCTCAGAGACAAGCCATTGCGACAACCAAAATTTGAAAAACCTCAGTCATGTACAAGACTCTCTCTCTCTCTCTTTTTTTTTAAATAGCAGTCTTGGAGTTTTTCTTCTTCTTTTTCTACTGCATGTGTTAGTTTCGTTTTCATTCGAAATATGGTTATGAATGAAACCTGTCTGAGGTTTCCAAGCATCTTCCACTTCTCAGAGAGCGTGAGATGACCGGGATTCATACTTATTATCCTCGATGCTGGGACAAACCAAGCAACTGGCCTGAAAGGTCCTTGTGGGCTGGTGGTCGTAAGCCATCTCTGCTGGCAAGCACGTTCGACCGTCTTCGTTTCCTGAGCAGGAACTGTGGATGTGGACCCCACTGACCACATGTTCTCTTTGTTGTTGTGGTTTTAGCACTGGATTTTAGAATCTAGTCTGTGTCTTGCCACGGACAAGATGGTGAGCTCACTGCATCTCTAGGCTCGTGTCTGTTCTCAGGGCATCTGATCACTCTTTTGACTATTGAGATGTATAGTTCTTGGTTGCAGGGGGTGCTATTCATGAGTTGTGTTTCTTTTCTGGGATGTATTGTGGTATGAAGTAAAATGAAAGCGTAAATGAAGATTTCTTTCTTTTCAATTTCTGGTCAGAATGCAAAGAATTCAGAGGGTCATTTCCTTGGGTAGGGACTGGAAGGAAACACCAGTCGATAGCGCCCCCTCTGGGTGAGTATGTTAGAAGCACTAGAAAACAGCACTTACTATCTATAACACATGATATGAAGTTAAAGAAATAGCAACCTTAAGCGGTGGGACAACGAATAACCACTCCCTTGTCTAAAGTTCGCCGCACTTTCTAAAACTTCTAGGAAGGCGGGATTTGAAAGAAAGAGATCCACATCATGGGTGGTTGCACGATAAATAATAACTTGGTATTACATTCTTTCTAAGCTACTTCTCGGACCCAGTGCCACCGGCGTCCCCAGCTAGAAAAGCCGCCTCCTAGCAGCCACACAGAAAGCACCGCTAAAGACGGGCGCTCCCGCCGCATCTCTTTCCCATCATTCCTTCCTCACTAGTTTCCCATAAACCTGAGGACTTCAACCAGTCCAGGGAAGTCAACCCACCTCCTCTGCTGTTATTGGCCAGCCATTTCTAGTCCCGTCCCAGAAACTGAGCCTCGGCGTTTGATTGGATATGAGTAGCCGGTCGCTGACGTCAGCAAGGGGCGTGGCTCAGACTCAGCTTGCCACCCACGTACCGGAGCACCATGTACCGCGCACTCCGACTCCTTGCACGATCGCGTTGCCTCCTGCGGGCCCCGTCCGCCGGTGCTGCCATCTCCGGGGAAGCAGGCACCCTCCTGCGGTGTGCCCCGAACGTCGCCCGAATGGTGAGCGAGCATCTCGGGCTGGGCCTCTCCGGGGTGACCTTCAGGTCAGCGTGGCTCGGGTGTCCCCGTGGGCCGGGCCTGGGCTCAGTGCCCGCACGCTCACTTAACCTTCCGCCCCGGGCGCCGCCTCCAGCCCGGTGGGTGTGGGGCTGCGGGCACCGTGGAGGGACGCGCTGCTCTCGGGCAGGATGGGCGTCCGGGCAGACCTGCCCCAAGCCTGAGTTTGCAGAGGCCTGAGGCCCTGGGCCCATTTGGGACCCTGCGTGCAAGGGGGAGGATGCTGGGTTGCTGGGGACGGATTAGGATGCAGGAGGCGGGAAGTGCGGGGCGGGAGGAGGGCACAGGGAAAGGGGCAGCCCCCGTCTTGCCTTAGGTAGCAGTCCCTCGCTGGCCGGACACAGGCAGAGTGCTCCCCTAGGCTAGGGACCCCCACAACTCTGGGTTCTTGCAAGGTCCTCTCTCCTTTCAGACACTCAAGGTGGATGAAGCCGGTGTGTCTTCTGAACGGCTTATCTTCTTAACGAATTTGACTATTTAGCTTGTGAGATTGCACGTGCGTTCTCTTCAAAACTTTCGTAAAACTCTGAAATCCATAAATACGAACATATGAACGAACATAAAACCTCGGAAGCAGGCCTGTGAGATTGGGTAGGGCTAAACTAGCCGAATCAGCGTTTTGTCAGAAAGAGAGCAAAGCAAGTTAAGAGCCAAGTCCAAAGTGTGACGTGCTTCATTAAGTTGCGTTTACAGTCCTTTAGAAAGTGTTACATATGAACGTGTATTGTTCGGAAAAGCCTGAGAAGTGAATAGTGAGGAAGACACTCTGGGGTTCCGGGTGCTCTCAGCAGTGTGAGGTGATTTCAAATCCTACTGCGGCTTCCGGGCAGGTTGTCTTTGTGCCTGTTTCCATATGGAAAATTGAGATAATTACAGAGGCTCAGGAAGATTGAACTTGGGAAAACTCTATGTGGTGTTGTGCTCCTTAAATACACCTCTAGTGTACTTGAAAGGGCCAAGATTTTTATTGGGACTTCAAGAAACTTGAATGACAGCATTGTACGGAAAGCAACAAAGCCTGGGGCTTGGGGAGATGGCTCCAGTAAAGAACACAAGACAGGAGTTTGACTCTGAGTATCTGTGTCAGGTGGCTCATACCCGCATGTAACAATAGCTCCAGCGGATGTGCAACACACACTTATGGCCTTGACATATGCATGTGCACACACATAGACACGCTTGCACATTCACGTGTGTACACACAATAACATAAATCACGAACAGAAACTGCAAAGTCCAGGCTGTTTAGAGTTCCTGGAATTTTACTCTGGTGGGTTTTTTGACTTGTTTTGTTTTTTGTTTTTGTTTGTTTGTTTTCAAGACAGGGTTTCTCTGTAGCTTTGGAGCCTGTCCTGGAACTCGCTCTTGTAGACCAGGCTGGTCTCAAAACACACAGATCTACCTGCCTCTGCCTCCCAAGTGCTGGGATTAAAGGTGTGAGCCACCCCCGCCCAGCTCTATCTGCCTCTCCTTCCCAAATGCTGGGATTAAAGGTGTGCGCCACCACCGCCCGGCTTGCTCTGGTGGCTTTTATGCATTTAAAAATCTTTTAAGGGGGGGCTGGAGAGATGGCTCAGTGGTTAAGAGCATTTCCTGCTCTTCCAAAGGTCCTGAGTTCAATTCCCAGCAACCACATGGTGGCTCTTTACAGACCATCTGTAAAGAGGTCTGGCGCCCTCTTCTGGCCTTCAGGCATACAGACAGAATATTGTATACATAATAAATAAACAAACAAACAAATAAATACTTTAAAAAAAAAACCCTGTCTCGAAAAATCTTTTAAGGGAAGGTGTCTCTCTCTCTCTCTCTCTCTCTCCCCCTTCCCCCTTCCTCCCTCCCTCCTTTCTTTTCTTTCTTTCTTTCTTAAATTTTGGTTAGGGGAACAGGAAAGTGGAAAATACTGTGGCAGATGTAAAAATGTGGCACTCCCTTGCTCTTAGGGTTGTAATGTCAGAAAATAGAATAGAGTTTACTTTTCCCATAGTTCAAGGACATTTTTTGACCTTTAACCTCTTGTTATTTCCAACAAATCTGTTGATTTTGTTAAAAGTTGTTCTCTAATGTTGAGAAATTCACATAACTCTGGAAGCCCTGAATTAGCTGTTATTGAAAAGAGCACCCCAAAGTTCACCTAGTGTTGAGAAATTCACATACCCTGGAATCTCTGAATTGCCTGTTACTGAAAAGAACACCCTAAAGTTCACCTAGTGTTGAGAAATTCACATAACCCTGGAGGCTCTGAGGTGCGTCACGCGGAGGTGGAGAGATGACACATTGCTGGCCTCCTTTCTGTTGGGTCCTTGTAAAGAAGACAGTCCATGTGTGCTTAGAAGTTAGAGGCTGTTGGCAAAGATTAGATAAGCAGGGGGCTGCAGAAATGACTTGGGGTCAGAGTTCTTGCTGTGCAGCTTCAGAAGCTGGGATTCACATTTCATGATATATTTCACATATAGCATGATAGGGCAGGTGGCAGCAGGTGCTTGAAGTAACTGGTCACACTGGGTATGCAGTCAGCAAGCAGAGAGAGGTGGGGGGAATGCTGGCACTCAGCTGCCTTTATCCCTTTTAAAAAGACTTTATATTTTATTTTTTAAATTAAAATGTAACTGCACAATTTTCCACTTCCCTTTCCTCTCTCCCAATTTCTCCCATGTACCAGCCCCCTTGTTCCATCTTAAAGTCATGGCCTCTTTTTCTGTAGTGGTGTGTGTGTGTGTGCCTTAGTTACTTTTCTGTTGTGATAAAACACCATGGCGAGAGCAGCTTACAGAAGAAAGGGTATAATTTGGAAGCAGAAAGAGCAAACTTAAAAGTTCCCCGGTGACACACTTCCTCCATCAAGGCCACACCTCCTGAACCTCCCCCCACAAGGCCATCATCTGGGGACCAAACATTCAAATGCCCAAGAATGAGAATATGGGGGGCATCTTATTCCAACCACCATAATCTGTAAACGCCTAAACACACAAATACAAGCATCACAGTGTAGTGTTGCTTATGTGTGTTTGATTTCAGGGCTGAGCACTGGGTGTTGAATGCCCACTCCAGTGCACAGCATGGTGCCACCCACACAGTAGTGCTGCACCCTGCTGAGATAGGTCCCTCCCATCTCAGTTGCCCCAGTCTAGACGATCCTCCCAGGCAGGCCCAAAGGCTTGTCCTACTGGAGATAGATCCTAACTGTCACACCTGAGGATAAGGGTAGGAAGTAGCTTTTGGAAGAGTTTGTTATGTGTTAAGATGCTGCAGTGTTTGCTTTTGTTATACATACATTGGGTATGTTCTTAAAGGCCAAGACAGGATGTTCTGAAGTGTCTGCTGAGACAGTTCACATTTTAGCACTGTAATTTTAAAATGTGGGTATCAGAATCCTAGGCTGTGCCTCCATCTCTTCCTCTCTCCATTTGTGGTGCTGCTGCTTGGACCTGTGGTTTCCTGCATGCTAGGCAAGTGCTCAGCTATTAAGTTTCCCCTCTAAAGAATTAAATTCAATTTGAATTAATTTTCTATTTTGAGATTTAAGGCTAAAGAACATGAATCTGTAAACAGGCAGAGCTTTTCTTTTGTCCTGACTGCCCGGTCCCAAATAATCACACAAAAACTTATATTAATTACAAAATATTTAGCCTATGGCTCAAAATTATTATTAACTATTGTTTACTATTTAAATTAACTATTTCTGTTAATCTATATTTTGCCACATAGCTTATACCTTTACCTGTCCTCTAGCATTTTTGCTTCCCAGGTGGCTGGCTCGTCTTTGCCTCCACTCTGTTTGTGTGACTCTTTCTAGTCTTAGAAGAAAACCACGAATTAACTTTTCCTTGTCAGTTGACTGTATGCTAAAGCAGTTACTTAAGGATTAAAAAAAAAAACCAAAACATCTAATTATCTTTAGTTATAATCAAGGAGCATTTGTGTGTGTGTATGTGTGTGTGCGTGCCTGCATGCATGTATGCACACTTTCTTGTGCACAGATCAGGCACCGTCCATTGCGCTCCACCATGTCTCTTAAGCAAAGGTGTCTTGGGCTGAAGGGTTGGTTCAGCCTTTAAAGGCTAAGTTAACAACCAAAAATTCAAAAAGGGTATCTCACTGAACCTGTATTTGTGTTAGACTGGCGGTCCAGTGGGCTTCAAGGGTGTCTGTCATCTGTTGTCCCTGGGCTGATCTGACAGGCACGTCTGCCACTCCAGGCTTTTATGTGGATGTGGGCATCTGGGTTCATGTCCTTTCACTTACCCATGCCCTCAGCCCTACATATGCATGTATTAAAGTTCTCAGTGTCACCCTGAAGTCTCTGCGATGAATACTTTGTGTAAATGTAAGGTTTTTATTGTTTGTAGATTTTATAGGTTTATAAAATATTTCTGGGGGGGAATGATTTAATTATATTTTAACTAAAACAACCTCCCCCCGATAAAGGTAGAGATCTCTTAATATTTCAGTAATATTCTGCTAAGATTATTCAGGTATTAAAAATTTATCATTTACTGTTCAATAGTGCATAAGTTTTATATTAAAATTTCAGTATAAATTATTTGTTAAGCAGTTGCAATTTTTTTATTAGTTTAAGTTGATGCATTTGACAGAATCCCAGCTTCTCCACAAACAGGGGCCTTGGGTCCCTGCTCTTACTCTGTGTGACTCTTTACCTTCACAATGTGGGCTCCTAAGTCATAGGAGACGTGCAGGTTCCCTAGCTTTCCTCAGATTCTGAAAGGCTGGCTTGTTAAATGAAGGTGACGACACAGATGTTAAGAAGTGGTTGTCTGCCTGTTGGATCAGGCCATTCCATTTCTGTTGTCACTACTGTCTCAGGCATAGTGACTGTTACGCCAATTTTAAATTTACCTTTGCTTAAGTAAATTTAAAAATCTCAAAGTGTTCTTATACTTTTCAAGTTTCCAGTAAAATAAACTAAATGAGGTCTGAATTGGTCAAATCTTGACTAGTAATAGGCATACTTTTTTTTTTTGTATTTTGAAGACTTTGTGTGCTAGCAATATGTTAGTTATATAAATTTTCCTTAATACCTGAATTTATAAATGTGGGTGTCAAAATATTTTTAAGGAAAACTGAATAGTGAGGAAAAGAGTAGCAAGATGGAATTTTATGTTTCGAGATACTTAATACAATTTTTTTCTCCTCACAACTGATCAGATTTTGTTTGCTTTGATCCTGGATTTTTTTTTTTTTTTCAAGCTAAACTAATGCCTTATCCTTGTCTTTAGGCAAGCCAAAATTCCTTCCGTATAGAGTATGACACCTTTGGTGAACTGAAGGTCCCAACTGATAAGTATTATGGTGCCCAGACTGTGAGATCTACAATGAACTTTAAGATTGGAGGTGCAACAGAACGGATGCCGGTAAGAAGCTTTGTGGAGATGTTGACTTAGAACTAGACTATAGTCACATGATTCATTATTTTGTAATATTTTATAAATTTAAAGTGTAAAATTATGAGAAAACTAGTTTTCTACATAGTAGTAAGTTCTCATTCATTAATATCCAAGAGCCTATGAAAGTTGTAGAACACTATTACTTTCCTGAGGCGTTAAATACTTTGGATTTTTAGCTGTTATCACTAAATGATTTGCTGACGGGCTGTGTTAGGGTTCTCTGAAGGAATAGAAGGGATGTGTGTATATGTGTGAGATTTATTAGACTGCCTTTCAGGCTATGCTCCAGGTAGTCCCAGATAGCGCCGATGGAAAGGCCAAGGATCTGATAGTTTTTCGTTCACAGCTCTGGACGTCTCAGCAGTCTTAGTCTGCTGCTGGGTCCCAGGGCGTTTCTGAAAAGCCACTAGACTTCAGTCTGTGCTGGACAGCTGGAGTAGTCGGTGCTAGTAACCAGTGAAGGGACATCTCAGCATCAGGGCAGACGAGCTTGCCAGAAAACAAGAGAGCCAGAGCAGACAGGTGAAAAGCAAAGCTTCCTTCCTCCATGTCGTTTTACATGGTCTGCCCCTAGAAGGTGTGGTGCAGATTTCAGGGTAGGTCTTCTGACCTCAGGTCATCCACCAAGAAAATCCTCCACAGTATGCCCGCTTCTTAGGCTTGAGGTGATTCCAGATGTCATCAAGTTAACAACCAAGGTGGACAATTTAAAGTTTTATTTATTTATTTATTTATTTTTGACGGGTAGGGGCGCATCAGTATTTCAGTTGGTAAGTGTTTTTATTTCAGTTCTTAAATTTTCTTTCTTTTCCTCACTGTGTAGCCCAGACTGGCCTAAAATCCATGATTTTCCCTCCTGGCCTTTCCTATGTTAATATTCCAGGCACACACCAGCCATGCCCAGTCCTTTTGTGATTGTTTAGAATGATGACGCAGCATCTGTTGGAGGAAATGAGTGAATGCTAGTGATCTTAATACATACTATGTAAAATAAACACATCCTTTACAATACACATCCATGAAGCGCTGTTATTATTGGCATTATCTTTATATGAACATTTCTGAGTGTATGTGTGTTTTGGTTATAGGTGTGTTTGTTTGTATGTGTCTGTACACAAGCCTCTAGATTTTGTTCTGTTGGCTCATTACACTTAGGTAATTTCCTCTGTTTTTTAAACTTTTGAGGGTCACAGTTTTGATACTATTTTTGCGGCTGCATAAAATAACAAATTTTCATGGTTATCTAAAATTGAAAATTTAAGGTATTTTTATGATTTCTTTTAGATCCCAGTCATTAAAGCTTTTGGCATCCTGAAGCGAGCTGCTGCTGAAGTGAACCAGGATTATGGTCTCGATCCAAAGATTGCTAGTGCAATAATGAAGGCAGCAGATGAGGTAGGAGGCGCTGACTGTGTTTACACAATGTCATCAAAGTCTCGGGGTCTCTGAAATCCTGGGTTAATGAATTTCAGGCTAGGGTGGCAGCATTATGCAGTGAAGATTTAATACAGTGCTGAAAACATTTTGCAGTGACATCTCTGGGCATTTTTATATCTTACTAAGTCTCTTTGTTGACTTATATAGTTTTAAGGGAAAAAAATTAAGGTTCTGAGGAGATGGCTCAGTGGTTAAGAACACTGACTGCTCTTCCAGAGGACCCAGGTTCAATTCCCAGCATCCACATGACAGCTCACAACCATCTGTAATTCCAGTTTCAGGGGATCCAATACCCTCACACAGACATACATGCAGGCAAAACACCAGTGCACATAAGATACCAATACATAAATGGTAAAAATTATAAGGATGATTTGAACTTCAGGTTTTTATTTTATGAATAAATGATTCCTTTTTAAGCTAATTGATCATTTGGTTGTACCTGTCAAGAATGTAATCTCCTTAAGCCCTGCCTTGAAGTGTTCAGAGGCGAGTTGAAACATTGAGTTTACAGTGTTGCTTTACAGTGTTTATGATGAAGGAAAGGAAGACTTTGTTACAGCAGCTATGCATGCAATGTAGCTACCTTGGTTACATCATTAGTAATAGAAATTAGTTCTTAAAGAGTGGCATAGAATGAGCCTAAACTTTGACAGAGGAACATTCTTTAAACATCTTAGAATGTTAATTTTGATGAGAAAAAGGAAATTGATAGAAAATGTGTGTTTTCCTATACTTTCCACCTCCACCCCACCTTGGGTAATATAATGTTGTAACAGGAGCGGAGGGCTACTTTCCCCGGCCGCCCACACAGCTAGCTTTACCCGAAATAATTACACAGAAACTGTATTCTTTTAAACACCGCTTGGCCCATTATATCTAGCCTTTTCTCGGCTAACTCTCGCACCTGGACTAACCCATTTCTTATAATCTGTGTAGCCCAAGAGCTGGCTTACCGGGAATGATTTTAACCTGCATGTGCCTGGAGTGGGAGAATCATGGCGACTCACTGACTCAGCTTCTTTCTCCCAGCATTCTGTTCTGTTTACTCCTCCCACCTATGTTTTAACCTATGAGGGCCAGCCAAGCAGTTTCTTTATTTTTTAACCAATGACCTTCCTCCATCAGTATAATCCACAGATGCTCAAGTTCCTTTTGTTAGATATGTGGTCCTCCACTGCAGCAGGTGGCCTCACAGGTGGTCCTCCACTGCAGCAGGTGGCCTCACAGGTGGTCCTCCACTGCAGCAGGTGGCCTCACAGGTGGTCCTCCACTGCAGCAGAGAGCCTCACAGGTGGTCCTCCACTGCAGCAGAGAGCCTCACAGGTGGTCCTCCACTGCAGCAGAGAGCCTCACAGGTGGTCCTCCACTGCAGCAGAGAGCCTCACAGGTGGTCCTCCACTGCAGCAGGCAGCCTCACAGATGGTCCTCCACTGCAGCAGGCAGCCTCACAGGTGGTCCTCCACTGCAGCAGAGAGCCTCACAGGTGGTCCTCCACTGCAGCAGGCAGCCTCACAGATGGTCCTCCACTGCAGCAGGCAGCCTCACAGGTGGTCCTCCACTGCAGCAGGCAGCCTCACAGGTGGTCCTCCACTGCAGCAGGCAGCCTCACAGGTGGTCCTTCACTGCAGCAGTCGGCCTCACAGGTGGTCCTCCACTGCAGCAGAGAGCCTCACAGGTGGTCCTCCACTGCAGCAGGCAGCCTCACAGGTGGTCCTCCACTGCAGCAGGTGGCCTCACAGGTGGTCCTCCACTGCAGCAGGAGGCCTCGCAGGTGGTCCTCCACTGCAGCAGGCGGCCTCACAGGTGGTCCTCCACTGCAGCAGGCGGCCTCACAGGTGGTCCTCCACTGCAGCAGGCGGCCTCACAGGTGGTCCTCCACTGCAGCAGTCGGCCTCACAGGTGGTCCTCCACTGCAGCAGAGAGCCTCACAGGTGGTCCTCCACTGCAGCAGAGAGCCTCACAGGTGGTCCTCCATTGCAGCAGGTGGCCTCACAGGTGGTCCTCCACTGCAGCAGGTGGCCTCACAGGTGGTCCTCCACTGCAGCAGGCGGCCTCACAGGTGGTCCTCCACTGCAGCAGGCGGCCTCACAGGTGGTCCTCCACTGCAGCAGGCGGCCTCACAGGTGGTCCTCCACTGCAGCAGGCAGCCTCACAGGTGGTCCTCCACTGCAGCAGGCAGCCCAGGGAACAAGCTAATAGCTTTCATTCAGTTTGTGTCTGAAGCCAATGAGTTGTCATCATTCAGAATATATAAAGTTTGGTGTTTCAAAGTAGCTGTAATTAGAATAAGTGATGCAGCAGATATTTAAGATTGTGCCACGGCTGCCTTAAACTGTCTTGAAATCATTAGCAAGCCACTTAGTATATGAAACTACTGACTTCTTTAAAATAGTTCTATAAGCAGAGCTTTCCTTCATAATGGTTCTTTTAAATAGCTTAATTAATACCCAGTATTCCTTATTTTAAGAAGACTCACTGTTAATGCTTTCTTCCCTGCAGGTAGCTGAAGGTAAACTGAATGACCACTTTCCTCTGGTGGTGTGGCAGACTGGATCAGGAACCCAGACAAACATGAATGTAAATGAAGTCATTAGCAACAGAGCAATTGAAATGTTAGGAGGTGAACTTGGCAGCAAGAAGCCTGTGCACCCCAACGATCATGTTAATAAGAGCCAGGTGGGTGCATGTCCTCTGTTCCTTCAGGACAGATGGACAAGCGCATGGGAGATGTGTATGTGAGATGTGCTTGTAAGGCTAGCATGTACTTTTTTGACAAGGAGAGTCGTCCAGCTTGTGTTCTTTACTAGAGAAGACTTTTAAGTTCGCTTCTTCCAGCATAAAACAATAATCGTTAGGACATCTAGGTTTAGTGTATGTATACATTTTGTTGTTTCATTTATTTAGAACAGGTTTTTTTTTTTGTTGTTGTTGTTTGTTTATTGGTTTCTTTGTGTAACAGTTCTGGCTGTCCTGGAACTCACTGTGTAGACTAGGCTGGCCCCGAGCTCTACTGGAACTAAGAAGTTGCTCTGGGCACAGTACTCTTAAACAGACTTCTTTCTGGGTTTCCCCAGTTTTCTGCCGAGTTTTCACTATGAAGTTCAGGGTTCTCCAAGGGAGGTCAGGTTGTGGAGATGTATTCTGTAAGAGTAGCGGTGCCTTCACTTGGTGTGTAGCCAGAGGCTGTGAGTTCTTAGGGGGACTGTCCCAGAAGCGAGGGACCCTTCACACTGCGACCTGTCAAGTACTCGACCGCAGCCTGACTTGCTACTGTGATGTCACACTTTAGCACTGGTTACATCATGTTTGTTTCCATGTCGCCTTTGTCCCTGTTTGCCCCCATTCCTGGCATTATACTGGAGTGTCGGCTTAGAGGAGAGGTGGAGGAGATCTGTGGATATGTCTTAGATTCCCTGGGAAGTCATCAGAGAGACCTTGAGACTGTGGAAATAATCTCCTCTTTGTCAGTGCATCTTACCCAGGGACTTACATCTGTGTTAGTGTGTTGTTTTGTTTCATGGTGTTTTTCTAGTTGTCTGTGGTGCTGGGGAGGGAATCCAAGGCCTCAGCAATGTTCTGCCACTAAGCCCACTGCTAGGTGGCCTAATAATGATTTTTAGTTTTCCTTCTTTTTATATTTATTAATGGGAATTTTTCTGTAAGGTTTTGTTCTTCCGTTTTTCATTTATTCAGTCGTGTTTAGCACGAAATTCACAGTGGCTTGCTATTCCTTTGTTTATAACCCTATATTTTGTTATTTATATAAATTATTAAGATTGCCTGAGTTTGGGGGTCCCTGTTCATTTGGCTTTTGGGTCCTAAAGGCTTGCTACTGTCTTTTTCTCTGAACCCACACCCTTATGTGTAGCCATGGTAAGATATCTAAGCACACTGTAAGATGTCCAAGCCTATTATCATATATTTTCCCTGCTCCAGCCCATGGAAACAGTTGTTATTTTGTTTTTGCTTTTTTAAGAAGCTGGGACCTGGGTGGTAGGTCTAAATGTGTTCTTAAGTGTCAAAGGCAAACTCTAGCCAGGCGGTGACGGTGTGTTTCTTTAATCCCAGCACCATTGAGATAGAGGCAGACAGATCTCTTGTTTGAGTCCAGTCTGTTTTACAGAGCGAGCTCTAAGACAGCCAGGGCTACTCAGAGAAACCTTGTCTTGAAAAACCAAAATAGCCAGGCGGTGATGGTGCATGCTTTTAATCCCAGCACTCAGAAGGCTGAGTCAGGTGGATCTCTGTGAGTTTGAGGCCAGCTGGTCTACAGAATTAGTTCCAGGACAGCTAGGGCTGCACAGAGAAACCCCTTTCAAACCCACTCCCTCCAAAATAAAGCTTTTATATAGTTCGTTTTAAAGGTGCTTTTAAAACGCAGTATTACTTTTAAGCGTGGTTTTATTAAGTTTAATTTGTAGTCTGAAGTCTGCTTCAGAATGGTGTAATAGGATGAAGCGGCGGGTGAGCGCACATTGCTGGATTTCTGGCTAGATGAGGTGGCAGGTGCATAAGTGGTCGCTGGACTGTTCTCTGAGCTTTCTAAGTGCTTCGATGGTTGCCATAAGAAGCAATTGAAATATGTGAATAGTAAATGAGTGTTTTTAAAACGCAGCATACCTTAAAAATACAAGGACAGCTGTGTGTTGTGTGCTGTGTGCACACCTGCTTGTCAGTTTTACAATTTCTAAATATTTTCCAGGTCACATTATCTCCTTGTCAGCTTGGCTTTCTGCCTCACAGAATATTTTTCAAGTTTACTAAGTAAATGTTTTATAAAAGAATGGCTGCATTCTAGAATACATTCTAGGACCTTCAAATGCTTGTTAACTCCTATGTCTACTGTGCTTTATTAGGGAGCACTTGTATAGTGGACTTAGCATGCTTAGTTATAGTAAATATTATGTCCAGTACACTTGTATGTGGGTCAGTCCTGAGTATGTTCCTTATAGGGAGCCTGGTTGCTTTTCATTTCATCAGCTGACCTATTAGTTGCCTCGTGAACACTATTGTGTATGCTGGGTTTTGAATAGTCACCTGGTTGGTTTTGAGGTCCTCTTTCCTTACCTCCAAGTTAACATCTCCTGTTTCTTTGGAAACTTCTCCACAGAGCTCGAATGACACCTTTCCCACAGCAATGCACATAGCCGCTGCGGTGGAAGTTCACGAGGTCCTGCTACCAGGACTGCAGAAGCTGCATGATGCGCTCAGTGCGAAATCCAAAGAGTTTGCGCAGGTCATCAAAATTGGGCGGACTCACACGCAGGACGCTGTCCCCCTCACTCTTGGGCAGGTACAGGAGTTTGATTCATTTGTTCAGTTTATGGGTTGATACAAACTGTCAGTGTTTTCCCTCAAAATTACCTTTAAAGGCCAAGTTTATCACAACAAAGGTCAGTGATTGATTTTCTGAATTAACCATTTGACAACTTTTAATAGTGCCCACATGAGATCAGACCATGGTGGCAGTGAACTGGACTCAGCTCGACTGCTGGGTTCAAGTTTTGCTTTGCTGTAGACCAGTTATACAACTGTAGGGAAGTCATTTAGCTTCTCTGAGCCTCAGTTTCCGGGGTTCTAAAGAGAATGCATGGCTGAGAGGCTGGAGTGGTTGATTGAGAGTGTTTAGAACATCTCAGGTGCATAGCCATCATCGTCATCTTCATCACTCTTTCGTCACGATCGCGTCATCTGTCCACCCTAAATCAAGAGGTTATTTAACTAAAGCAGATTTTTTTTAAAGTAATTAAGAAAGGCTGATCTTACCCTTGACAATTATTTTCACTACATTGGAAGAGAGATTACTGTTCGGGACAGTAGAAGTTATTTTTCTGTTTCTGCATCAGCAGCTGAAGGGAGATCTAATAATGTCCATTGCAAAGAAACAAAAAGAAACTCATGCAACAGTTTTGTCTCAACTCACACTCCAGTTTGAGAGGTAGAGTCTGTAGTTTATGTATCAAGAGATAGCCATCCATTGCCAAATATCAACTGATAGTTACCGAGTAATAGTTTGATAAAAATTGTGTGAGGGTGGGAACTTGATTGCTGCTCATTTGGACGGATTCTTGGTTGCTCTATGGCAAATAATAAATAAAATATTATTTAGCACAATTTTTATAGAAGGAATGAGGAACGTTTCTAAGGCTTAGCTAAAGATAAATGAAGAGATGAAATTGAACCAACTAGATTAAATTACCTCTTGGTATTTTCTTTATATCATGATCTTAATTCTATGTGTAATTTCTAAGGAGGAGCGATATGTGCATTTCAGTCTGTTTCCCTGGCTTCTAATTTTACTTTTCTTTTGGTATGTTTTATGTTGAAAACTGCTGTGCTGAAAATCAGTTTGAGCCACAGCTTAGTCTCTTGAGTGACATCATCACACTATTTATTATGACAGCAATTTTCTTTTTCTTTTTTTAATTTATGAGAAACATGTATATTGTTTTGATTGGAATTGTCTTGAGTTTTTACAATTTTCAAAATCCATTCTCTGATATGTGTCTGTCACTTTGAGATGGGGGAGATGCAGAGATGGGAAGAGAACAAGAAAAAGTGTTTCATGAATTAGGTCCACCTTTGGAAATGTTTTTATTAGAGAGTTATGAAACGCTGTCTTAATTAGGTTTCTATTGCTGTGACGAGACACCATGACCATGGCAACTCTTATAAAGGAAAACAGTTAGGTGGCTTACAGTTTCAGAAGTTTAGTTCATTACCAACATGGTGGGACATGGCGGCATGCAGGCAAACATGGTGCTGGAGCAGGAGCCGAGAGTGGAGAAGGAGCTCCATCTTGATCCTGCAGGCAGCAGGAAGTGGTCTGAGACACTGAGCATGGCGTGAGCATATATGAGACCTCAAAGCCTGCCTCCACAGTGACGCACTTCCTCCAATAAGGCCACACCTACTCTAGAACCACATCTCCTAGTAGTGCCACTCCCTGTGAGCTTGCGTGGGCCAATTACATTCAAACTACCACAAACCTTAATAAAGAGTATTTAGGTTTTCAGTAATTTTAGTTCGGAGAAAAGATTTAGGTTTTAGTTTATCTGAATATCTTGGTTTATACAGATACGCTCCATTATAAAATACAAAGGGCATAAGGCTTTGTCTTTGCGTAGTTATTAATGGTTCACAATATTCAAAACACGATAGACTGATTATTGGTTTAAAGTGTTGTAACGTGGGAAGCCTTGTGACACTGTTGGCAGAATTACAGTGAAGCTGTGAACCTGCCCACTGTGGCGCCTCACGATGCTGAATTGCTTCACTCTTGGGCCCCTGTGAAGGAGCCCTTGGGTTCCCTCTTAGGACTTCAAGCTGGAGCTGTATAGAAAATATTTCCATTCTCTTTTTTCTTTGAAGAATATTTGGTATTGGGTGGGTAGCAGTAGAGCCGCAGTTTAATGTAGTGGAACTGTTCTTTTTTAAGGGTTTATTTCATGGGCTGTTTTCTTGACTGTTAAAACATTAAGTTATAAACAAACTAAATTGCATGTTTTTAATTGCAATGTTCTGCCTTGTGGATTTGTATCCCTTCCTCCTTTCTCTTACTTCATCATGTGAATGAATTAACACTGAGTAGCATATAATTTAATATTCTGAAGTTCCTGTTTAACACCATTAGAGTAAGTGAACGCTGTTAGGAAGTTTGCTCTTACTGTGATTTTTCTTTGTCAGGAATTCAGTGGTTATGTTCAACAAGTCCAGTATGCGATAGCAAGAATAAAAGCCGCCATGCCAAGAATCTATGAACTCGCTGCTGGAGGCACTGCTGTCGGCACGGGTTTAAACACCAGGATTGGCTTCGCAGAAAAGGTGGCTGCAAAAGTGGCTGCGCTCACAGGTGGGACCACATGCATTGCCACTCGTGGTCTTTGTGCCAGCTTATGCGTCGTCTAGATGTTTCCAGGCTGAAGTCTTCTGAAATTCAGGAGTAACATGTTCCCATTAAACGTGTTAGAGGCTTCCATGTCAGAGTATACGTTATGTGACAGCTGTGTTTGCTGTCTGGTGGTGGGCAGATCTTTCCCTTCCCAGCTGTTTTAGGTACGGTTTTCAAAGAAAGTAGAAACAGTTGACTGTTGAGAAACTTATAAGATGATAACTGATGTAAGCTTAATAATTTTATGTCACACTGTTATTTCTTTGCCTTAACATCTTTAAGTGCTGTCTTCCCACTAGTACGTACTATAATCTGAATAATAACCACTGTTACTATTGTTATTAGAACCAACTTGTCATGTCCAGAAAGCAGATAAAGATGCAGATGTTACCAGAAGGGTAGGGTAGTAATAGCTATATAATACATATGACAGGCTCATAGGTGAAGTTTTTAAATGCTCATTTATTTTTCATTTTACTTATTTATTGATTGATTGTTTTGTTTTGGGACAGGGTTTCTCTGTGTAACAGTCCTGGAACTTGCTTTGTAGATTAGTCTGGCCTCAAACACTCAGAGATTCGTCTGCCTTTGCTTCCTAAGTGCCGAGATTAAAGATTAAAGCCCTATGAATTTTTTTTTTTTTTTTTTTTTTTTTTTTTTTTTTTTTTTAGCTTTTTGAGACAGGATTTCTCTTTGTAGCTTTGGCTGTCCTGGAACTTACTCTGTAGATCACTAGATCACGTTGGCCCAGGCTGCCCTTGAACACATAGAGATCCACCTGCCTCTGCCTCTCGAATACTGGGATTAAAGGCGTGTACTACCACTGTCTGGCTAGGCATGTAAATTTTTTTTTTTAAATTTATTTATTTATTAAAGATTTCTGTCTCTTCCCAGCCACCGCCTCCCATTTCCCTCCCCCTCCCCTAATTAAGTCCCCCCCCCCCCTCAGCCTGAAAAGCAATCAGGGTTCCCTGTCCTGTGGGAAGTCCAAGGAACCCCCCACCTCCATCCAGGTCTAGTAAGTTGAGCATCCAAACTGCCTAGGCTCCCACAAAGCCAGTACGTGCAGTAGGATCAGAAACCCAGTGCCATTGTTCTTGAGTTCTCAGTAGTCCTCATTGTCCATTATGTTCAGAGAGTCCGGTTTTATCCCAGGCTTTTCCAGACCCAGGCCAGCTGGTCTTGGTGAGTTCCCAGTAGAACATCCCCATTGTCTCAGTGTGTGGGTGCACCCCTCATGGTCCTGAGTTCCTTGCTCGTGCTCTCTCTCCCTCTGCTCCTGATTTGGACCTTGAGAATTCAGTCCTGTGCTCCAATGTGGGTCTCTGTCTCTGTCTCCTTTCATTGCTTGCTGAAGGTTAATATTCAGGAGGATGCCTATATGTTTTTCTTTGGGTTCTCCTTATTTAGCTTCTCTAGGATCACTAATTATAGGCTCAATGTCCTTGGTTTATGGCTAGAAACCAAATATGAGTGAGTACATCCCATGTTTCTCTTTTTGTGTCTGGCTTACCTCACTCAGGATAGTGTTTTCTATTTCCATCCATTTGTATGCAAAATTCAAGAAGTCCTTGTTTCTTACTGCTGAGTAATACTCTAATATGTATATATTCCATACTTTCTTCATCCATTCTTCCATTGAAGGGCATCTAGGTTGTTTCCACGTTCTGGCTATGACAAACAATGCTGCTATGAACATAGTAGAGCATATACTTTTGTTGTATGATAAGGCCTCTCTTGGGTATATTCCCAAGAGTGGTATTGCGGGGTCCAGGGGTAAGTTGATCCCGAATTTCCTGAGAAACCGCCACACTGCTTTCCAAAGTGGTTGCACAAGTTTGCATTCCCACCAGCAATGGGTGAGTGTCCCCCTTTCTCCACAACCTCTCCAACAAAGGCTATCATTGGTGTTTTTGATTTTCGCCATTCTGACAGGTGTAAGATGGTATCTTAAAGTTGTCTTGATTTGCATTTCCCTGATCGCTAAGGAAGTTGAGCATGACCTTAAGTGTCTTTTGGCCATTTGAAGTTCTTCTGTTGAGAATTCTCTGTTCAGCTCAATGCCCCATTTTATAATTGGGTTGGTTAGCCTTTTACAGTCTAGTTTCTTGAGTTCTTTATATATTTTGGAGATCAGACCTTTGTCAGTTGCGGGGTTGGTGAAGATCTTCTCCCAGTTAGTGGGTTGCCTTTGTGTCTTAGCGACAGTGTCCTTTGCTTTACAGAAGCTTCTCAGTCTCAGGAGGTCCCATTTATTCAATGAGGTCCTTAATGTCTGTGCTGCTGGGGTTGTATGTAAGAAGTGGTCTCCTGTGCCCATGTGTTGTAGAGTACTTCCCACTTTCTCTTCTATCAGGTTTAGTGTGTTCAGACTGATATTGAGGTCTTTAATCCATTTGGACTTGAGTTTTGTGCATGGTGATAGATATGGATCTATTTTCATTCTTCTACAGGTTGACATCCAGTTTTGCCAGCACAATTTGTTGAAGATGCTCTCTTTTGTCCATTGTATACTTTTAGCTCCTTTATCAAAAATCAGGTGTTCATAGGTTTGTGGGTTAATGTCAGGGTCTTCTATTCGATTCCATTGGTCGACTTCTCTGTTTTTATGCCAATACCAAGCTGTTTTCAATACTGTAGCTCTGTAGTAGAGTTTGAAGTCAGGGATGGTAATGCCTCCAGACGCTCCTTTGTTGTATAAGATTGTTTTGGCTATCCTGGGTTTTTTGTTTTTCCATATAAAGTTGATTATTGTCTTCTCCAGATCTGTGAAGAATTTTGATGGGATCTTGATGGGGATTGCATTGAATCTATAGATTGCTTTTGGTAGAATTGCCATTTTTACTATGTTGATCCTCCCAATCCAGGAGCAAGGAAGATCTTTCCATTTTCTGGTGTCCTCTTCAATTTCTTTCTTCAAAGACTTAAAGTTCTTGTCAAATAGATCTTTCACATCCTTGGTCGGAGTTACCCCAAGATATTTTGTGCTATTTGTGGCTATCGTGAAAGGTGATGCTTCTCTAATTTCCCTCTCTGTTTCCTTATCCTTAGTGTATAGGAAGGCAACTGATTTTTTGGAGTTGATCTTGTATCCTGCCACATTACTAAAGGTGTTTATCAGCTGTAGGAGTTCTTTGGTAGAGTTTTTGGGGTCGCTTATGTATACTATCATATCATCTGCAAATAACGAGAGCTTAACTTCTTCTTTTCCGATACGAATCCCCTTGATCCCTTTATGTTGTCTTATTGCTATTGCTAGAACTTCAAGCACTATATTGAAGAGGTATGGAGAGGGTGGACATCCTTGTCGTGTTCCTGATTTTAGTGGGATGGCTTTGAGTTTTTCTCCATTTAATTTAATGTTAGCTGACGGCTTGCTGTAAATAGCTTTTATTATATTTAGGTATGACCCTTGTATCCCTAATCTCTCCAAGACTTTTATCATAAAGGGGTGTTGAATTTTGTCAAATGCTTTTTCAGCATCTAATGAAATGATCATATGGTTTTTTTCTTTCAGTTGATTTATATGCTGGATTACATTGATAGATTTGCGTATGTTGAACCAGCCCTGCATCTCTGGGATGAAGCCTACTTGATCATAATGGATAATTTTTCTAATGTGTTCTTGGATTCGGTTTGCCAGTATTTTATTGAGAATTTTTGCGTCGATATTCATGAGTGAGATAGGCCTGTAATTTTCTTTCTTGGTTGGGTCTTTGTGAGGTTTTGGTATCAGGGTAACTGTAGCTTCATAAAAGGAATTTGGCAATGACTCTTCTGTTTCTATATTGTGAAATACATTAAGGAGTATAGGTATTAGCTCTTCTTGGAAGTTCTGGTAGAATTCTGCATTGAAACCATCTGGTCCTGGGCTTTTTTGGAAGGTAGATTTTTGATAACGGTTTCTAGTTCTTCGCGACTAACAGGTCTATTTAGATCATTCACCTGGTTTTGGTTTAGCTTTGGTATGTGGAACTTATCTAAAAACATGTCCATTTCTTTTGCATTCTCTAGTTTTGCGGCATACAGGCTTTTGTAGTAAGATCTAATGAGTCTCTGAATTTCCTCTGTGTCTGTGGTTATGTCCCCCTTTTCATTTCTGATCTTATTTATTTGCGTGTTCTCTCTCTGTCGTTTAATTAGTTTGGATAGGGGTTTGTCGATCTTGTTGATTTTCTCCAAGAACCAACTTTTTGTTTCATTGATTCTTTGGACTGTTTTCTGCGTTTCTATTTTGTTGATTTCTGCCCTCAGTTTGATTATTTCCAGTCTTCTGCTCCTCCTGGGCATGTCTGCTTCTTTTTTTTTCTAAAGCTTTCAGGTGTGCTGTTAAGTCCTCCGATGTATGCTTTCTCT